CCAGGTTTGGGTAGAACACTGTTTTTCAGCTCATGCACAGCTGAGACTTCCTGCACAACATACCACAGGAGCATTTGCTTGCCGGTCAGTTTTTGTACAAGCCATACATACCAGCATTTTTACCATACCCTGCAGGAATCATGGTTTGATGCAGTGCAGTCAGTGTGACTGCCAAAGTACACCATTCACCCCCATCCCCTCCCGCTTTTTCCTCTAGAAAATCTGTCTATTAAAGGATTCAAGCGAAGGTGAGCAGGTTTGGGCCACTGTACCTTTTATGGCACAGCATGAATATAGAAAAACAGTGCGTTGCCTTATTAAATAATGGTATGTCAAAAAGAAAAGAGATACACTCATGAGCTTTGTCAGTGTGCCTCCCTCTGGAAGTGAGACACATTGCAGAACTGATATTTGCAAGATGTAACTTTTCTTTAAAATAAAACCAAAGCTTACAATACCTTGAGAAAGGTGATTTTTTTTTTTTTTTCCTAGGCTTTTGCTAGAACTTTCCCTTTTTGCCAAAAGGGCGGCATGTTGCTTCATAATCTAAATCTGATTACTGTTGTGTAGAATTTATTTGCTGTGGAAGAAAGTGTATGTCCACTTTTATTCTGCAGCAATCTACTTATCTATGGGAATGTACTTGTTATTTAACAAATTGTTGAGCGGTGAGAAAGTAGTTTGTAGTAGTAAATCATCAGTGAGTAACAGAATGAGAGGTTTCTTTGGAGCTTAATCCAAAGTTTTTAGTTTTGTTCTCTCATTTTTTTCTTTTTTTTTTTTCAATGTAGGAATCAACAGAACAGCCCTCAGGGAGATAAAATTGTTACAGGAGCTAAGCCATCCGAATATTATTGGTGTAAGTAAAATGAATGCTACTTCTAGAATCAGCCCTCAGATACTTCTGATACAGGGTCAAACTGAAATTTAGAATTAGTTGGGTCATGGAGATGCTACTTAATTTTATTTGAGCTATTTTTTCCAGCCCAAAATGGGCAGTAAAACAATTGTTACGGCAAAACACCTATTTCAATAACAAAGACAAAGTAGCTTCTTTTGAAATCCTCTTACTTTTTAGCCTGGGGCTATGTGGGTATTAATGGTGGGGAGAATTGTGGAAATTCAGATTACCTGATTTTGCTTCTCTGATAGACTTGCAAATGAGTGCCGTGCTGAATTTACCTGATTGTTTGCTTCCCATGGAGCTGGTGGCAGCCAAAAGCAGGCTTTTGGAAGCAATGGTGAAGTGGGATTCATGTGGCTTATTAGGTTTTAGTGCTGATATCTAAAACCTCTGTTGGAAGGAGTAAAACCTATATCTTTTCAGTTGCATTTAGGTTGACTTCCAGCTACAGATACCCAGCTGGAGCTAAAGATATTTTAAAATTAGCTAATAGTGATAGTTTGAAGGTCTGCCATAAGTATTAGGCCAAATATGAATTCCTCAGCTATTTTATTTAACTTTTTCAGAGTGGAAATATGGTTATCTTCTGGATTGTGAACTTATTTTCAAAGTGGTTGCTTTAGCTGTCAAAGTTAGACAATGTGCAGAGAAAAGACAACTAAAATGGCAAAGGGATGGAGCATCTTCTTTATGAAAAAGTCTGGGATTCCTCACTCTGGAGAGAAGGCTGGGAATGGGGAGGTGGACAAAACTGAGGTGGTAGGTAAAGTGCACGCAGAACTGATATTTGCAAAACCCCACAGTACAAGAAATAAGAGATGCGTTTAAAACATGTGCGTGGGGGGGAGTGGAAATTGTACTACTTGACATTGTGTAGTGAATTTCTCGAATGTGTTGCCACGGGCATTGTAGAAGCAGATAGCATAAACAGTTCAAAAAGGAATTAGACAAATTTATGATCAGCAGGTCTATAAGCAGGTACTAAAGGCAATAGACAAGGTTGTACCCCTCTTAGCAGTCCTGATAAAACCAGTGTGGATGTTGGAAGTGTAAGGGGCATGAGTTACAAAAAGTGGCCAAGCCTGTAGGCTCACCTGCGTAGTATCTCCTGTTAGCATGGTTTCTGCAGAGGAAGAGCATGAGCACAGTCACTGCTGTCACGAACCATGCAAACAACTATCTTGCAATTGGGTAATTCATACGGTCATCATACTGAGACTGTAAGGAATGAGCCACACCATGGAGAGTATACCTTCCTGATCTTGAGGGTAGAATACCAGGCTAGATGATCTGTTGTTCTTACTCAGCATTATGCTTGTGTTATCTCAAATTAAAAGCTGATTCTGTCGTTATACAGCTTCATCGTAAGAAAGGGCCATTTGGATATCCTGCAAAGAGTTTTATTTATCCTAGAAAGCTTGCTACAAAGATGAATACATGCCTAAGAATATCTTTGAAAGGAAATTAATAAGCCTAACACTTAGAATTTCTAAATACTGCATGCTTATAGGAAGCAGATACACAGAGCTGAATCCATGAGAAAACTTAGTCTGGTCTCAAGAAAGGGTAGGAGTTTTGTAGAACAGCAAAGTTTTGGGCGAGGACAAGGTGCGCATTAGATTATCTGTTGTAGCTAACATAGTAAAGTTAATTCTTTCTCAATTTTTTTTTTCTTCCCCCTAAGTCCAGGAAGGAGGGGCAATTGTGTAAAATGTTATTACTGTACTTAATGGGGATTTTTTTTTTTGGAGACTGAGTTAAGAAGCTAAACTGAGTAAGAATTTTTTTTTGTATTGCAAGTTGAAAAACTTAAACCAGTTCAGCAAGCTGAAAATCCACATGCAGACTACAGTGGTGCAGAATTTTAGAAAACTGAAAGTATGAGAGTATGCTTCATCATAATGTATTTTGTTTTTCAGCTTCTAGATGCATTTGGACACAAGTCCAATATTAGTTTGGTGTTTGATTTTATGGAAACGGATCTAGAGGTAAGATTTTTTTAAAGACTTTTTTATTTCAGTATCTTCAAATGGTTTTTGAAAATACTACTTTAACAGGCTTACATTTGCCCATGTTAGAAAGGTGACTTTCATTATGTCAGTTGATTAAGATCATGTCTTAAAAGTAGTTTGAATAATTTGACAGTTTTTGTGAGTTCTCAGCTGATAATGCCTTTACTTTTAAATACTTGTCAGCACAATCTTCAAGAAACAGACTATGTTTACTATTTCAGTTTTCTGGGACTCCAGTCAGAGCGTAGAACCTCAGTCATAGACCAGTGACACAATTGCTAAGTGTAATATCATGAAACGTGTTCAAGTAAGTGTGATACTAAAATATGCCAAGTGACGAGCTGGTAATAAAATCACATGTACCTGAACCATTCTTTTAAATGTAACAATGCTAGGTACTTGCAAATCAGCACCTTCCAGATGTTTCATTCTACAAGACCTTACGTCAGTTTGTCTTTGTGGAAGTCTTTGTATGAGATATGTCGATGCAAGATTCTTCATTGTGGAAGACTGTCCTAGACGGCAGTTCATGTCAGATCTGTTATATGCACGCATTATGCCTACTCTGGACAGAAATTAATGTAGTTGTTAAGCTAGCTCATTACACATATGCTGTTAAGAACTGGGGGTAGCATTTAAAATATTAAAAGAAAACATTGACAAGCTTGCTGAAACTTAGATGAATGCAAGACTGAAAAGTTTAGATCAGTTTTTTGCTAATAGAAGTTGAAGTAATGAGTAGACTTTCTAGAGGATTCATTCTGTTTACTTAGTAACTATGCAACATTTAGAGCTGAAGAAGATACGGTGTACAAAGAGGAATGAAATACTCTTGTACTACATAATGCTGTGGTATGCAGAGCATTTAACTGTATTGTGGTATCACTCGGGCCACCATTTGGGGCTGCAGCCTGTTGTGATTGGGCATGTGCTGCATACATGAAATTTTGTGTAGTCTTAGACAGCTATTTTGGAAGTCTCAAACAACTTAAAGCTTAGGAAAGGCTATTACTGAACTGGACAGTAATATTAGCAAGCAACTTTTGGGAGGTAGTGTAGAAAATACTTTCAAACAGGATGTTTATATAGAATGTTAAAAATCAAAGAATGTAGAAAACGTAAGTAGATTTGTTAAAATATAGTAAAGTGGCCATACCTCCTGGTCGTCTTCGAAATAGAAGAGGAAACCGTTGCATTTACAAAGATCAGATGCATAGGTTGCATGGAGAAAGAAAGAATAAGTGGGAACACAATTCCAAGTTTACCAACATGTTTATCATTTTTATGTGTACATCTTTGTCTTGTAAGTTTGGGTATCAACCTGGAACTGAGATAAAATAATAAACTCGTGTTTCCGACCCATTTTTTCATTTGCTGGTTATGCAAAGTTCATGTAGGCTACCTGGACTCCCCATTTCAATTTCTGATCTCCAGAATAGACCTATTTTACTGGAAAAAGGGTGGGAGTGGTAGAGAATGTGACTGCCAATTTGAATTTTGTCTTAAAGGATGAAATAACTTTTGAGCTGAAAGAATGGAAGTAAGTTAATCTTGCATGGTAAGCTTTACCATTAATCTAACACTTTACAGGTTATTATAAAGGATACTAGTATTGTGTTGACACAATCCCACATCAAGGCATATATGCTGATGACACTTCAAGGTTTAGAATATTTACATCAGCACTGGATTCTACACAGGGTAAGCATGTACTAAATTGACAGCCTTTATGCTGTAACAAAAGTCACATTTGATAGAATTTGAGTCTAAAATCTAATGAAGATAGTTTTGAAGTTCAGACGTTCTCAGTCCATAAGCATTCATGCTAGCTGTTTTGGAGAGGCCATAGCAGTACCAGAAATGTTAAGAATTACTGATGTGGTTATCATTTAAATACTTATATAAAAGTGTCTCAAGTTACATGTGATTTTGATTAGCACTGTGAACCGGGTCTGGCTGGGATGGATTTAACTTTCTTCGCAACAGCCTGCAATCCACATGCAGACTACAGTGGTGCAGAATTTTAGAAAACTGAAAGTATGAGAGTATGCTTCATCATAATGTATTTTGTTTTTCAGCTTCTAGATGCATTTGGACACAAGTCCAATATTAGTTTGGTGTTTGATTTTATGGAAACGGATCTAGAGGTAAGATTTTTTTAAAGACTTTTTTATTTCAGTATCTTCAAATGGTTTTTGAAAATACTACTTTAACAGGCTTACATTTGCCCATGTTAGAAAGGTGACTTTCATTATGTCAGTTGATTAAGATCATGTCTTAAAAGTAGTTTGAATAATTTGACAGTTTTTGTGAGTTCTCAGCTGATAATGCCTTTACTTTTAAATACTTGTCAGCACAATCTTCAAGAAACAGACTATGTTTACTATTTCAGTTTTCTGGGACTCCAGTCAGAGCGTAGAACCTCAGTCATAGACCAGTGACACAATTGCTAAGTGTAATATCATGAAACGTGTTCAAGTAAGTGTGATACTAAAATATGCCAAGTGACGAGCTGGTAATAAAATCACATGTACCTGAACCATTCTTTTAAATGTAACAATGCTAGGTACTTGCAAATCAGCACCTTCCAGATGTTTCATTCTACAAGACCTTACGTCAGTTTGTCTTTGTGGAAGTCTTTGTATGAGATATGTCGATGCAAGATTCTTCATTGTGGAAGACTGTCCTAGACGGCAGTTCATGTCAGATCTGTTATATGCACGCATTATGCCTACTCTGGACAGAAATTAATGTAGTTGTTAAGCTAGCTCATTACACATATGCTGTTAAGAACTGGGGGTAGCATTTAAAATATTAAAAGAAAACATTGACAAGCTTGCTGAAACTTAGATGAATGCAAGACTGAAAAGTTTAGATCAGTTTTTTGCTAATAGAAGTTGAAGTAATGAGTAGACTTTCTAGAGGATTCATTCTGTTTACTTAGTAACTATGCAACATTTAGAGCTGAAGAAGATACGGTGTACAAAGAGGAATGAAATACTCTTGTACTACATAATGCTGTGGTATGCAGAGCATTTAACTGTATTGTGGTATCACTCGGGCCACCATTTGGGGCTGCAGCCTGTTGTGATTGGGCATGTGCTGCATACATGAAATTTTGTGTAGTCTTAGACAGCTATTTTGGAAGTCTCAAACAACTTAAAGCTTAGGAAAGGCTATTACTGAACTGGACAGTAATATTAGCAAGCAACTTTTGGGAGGTAGTGTAGAAAATACTTTCAAACAGGATGTTTATATAGAATGTTAAAAATCAAAGAATGTAGAAAACGTAAGTAGATTTGTTAAAATATAGTAAAGTGGCCATACCTCCTGGTCGTCTTCGAAATAGAAGAGGAAACCGTTGCATTTACAAAGATCAGATGCATAGGTTGCATGGAGAAAGAAAGAATAAGTGGGAACACAATTCCAAGTTTACCAACATGTTTATCATTTTTATGTGTACATCTTTGTCTTGTAAGTTTGGGTATCAACCTGGAACTGAGATAAAATAATAAACTCGTGTTTCCGACCCATTTTCTCATTTGCTGGTTATGCAAAGTTCATGTAGGCTACCTGGACTCCCCATTTCAATTTCTGATCTCCAGAATAGACCTATTTTACTGGAAAAAGGGTGGGAGTGGTAGAGAATGTGACTGCCAATTTGAATTTTGTCTTAAAGGATGAAATAACTTTTGAGCTGAAAGAATGGAAGTAAGTTAATCTTGCATGGTAAGCTTTACCATTAATCTAACACTTTACAGGTTATTATAAAGGATACTAGTATTGTGTTGACACAATCCCACATCAAGGCATATATGCTGATGACACTTCAAGGTTTAGAATATTTACATCAGCACTGGATTCTACACAGGGTAAGCATGTACTAAATTGACAGCCTTTATGCTGTAACAAAAGTCACATTTGATAGAATTTGAGTCTAAAATCTAATGAAGATAGTTTTGAAGTTCAGACGTTCTCAGTCCATAAGCATTCATGCTAGCTGTTTTGGAGAGGCCATAGCAGTACCAGAAATGTTAAGAATTACTGATGTGGTTATCATTTAAATACTTATATAAAAGTGTCTCAAGTTACATGTGATTTTGATTAGCACTGTGAACCGGGTCTGGCTGGGATGGATTTAACTTTCTTCGCAACAGCCTGCATGGTGCCGTGTTTTGGATTTGTGCCTAAAAGAGTTTTGATAACACACCGATGTTTTGGCTATTGCTGAACAGTGCTTGGGCATTGTCAAGGCTTTCTCTTTTTCCCACTCTGCCCCTGCCCCAGTGAGCAGGCTGGGGGTGGGCACGAAGTGGGGAGGGGACACAGCTGGGACAGCTGACCCGAGTTGGCCAGGGGGATATTGCATGCCAGATAGTGCCATGCTCAGCAATAAAAACTGGGGTAGAGGAAGAAGGGGGTTTTCTGGCTTCCAAGGTGACCATTGCTTAGAGACTGGGTATCAATCTGCTTGTGGAAGGTGGTGAATGATTACCATTGCATTGCTTGTTTGGGTTCTTTCCTCTTTCCTTCTCCTGTTAAACTGCCTCTATACTGCTCCCAGAGTAGAGGAAGAAGGGGGTTTTCTGGCTTCCAAGGTGACCATTGCTTAGAGACTGGGTATCAATCTGCTTGTGGAAGGTGGTGAATGATTACCATTGCATTGCTTGTTTGGGTTCTTTCCTCTTTCCTTCTCCTGTTAAACTGCCTCTATACTGCTCCCAGAGTTTTCTTGCTTTTGCTCTTCTTACTCTCTCCCCTATCCTGCTGAGAGGGGGTGGGTGGGATGAAAACGGAGTCAGCAAATAGCTGTGTGGGTGCTTTGCTGCTGGCCAGAGGTCAACGCACAACACACTGTTACTGTATTAAACTGTATCACTTCCGTGATTTCTAGTTACTTGAAGCATTTGTAAAGTCTTTTTATTATTCATTTGGCAACTATGCAGTTAAGACAGAACAGCTGTTCCTGCAGCAAAGTTAAAACCTATCAAGAGGCAGTTTTTTAAAACTCTGCAGCTTAAATATGATAATATTCAAATGGGTGTGTTTCACTATGATTTTCATGTATGAAAATACTTGATTTGGCAACTATGCAGTTAAGACAGAACAGCTGTTCCTGCAGCAAAGTTAAAACCTATCAAGAGGCAGTTTTTTAAAACTCTGCAGCTTAAATATGATAATATTCAAATGGGTGTGTTTCACTATGATTTTCATGTATGATTAAATACTTGATTTCCTGGGGTTTTTTTAATTTTTTCTCCTCACAATGTAGACTTATGATAGAATCAAAAACCTGCATTTTAGAATACTGTTAATGGCACACCTGCCAGGAGGTTCCTCATATGTCTGTTTTTATCAACACTGACAAAATTCATTCTTTGCTTTCTGTACTGACAGGATCTTAAACCAAATAATTTGTTGTTGGATGAAAATGGGGTTTTAAAATTGGCTGACTTTGGCTTGGCGAAATCTTTTGGAAGCCCAAATAGAGTTTATACACACCAGGTAGTAACAAGGTAAGACATTCTGTTTTGTTTCTTACATAGTGATTGTGTAGCTGTTTTGTAGTCTCTTGAAATATGTCATGTCAAATCAACATGTTCAAAGTTTGACATCTAGCTCATGTGATACGGCTATAGGGGCAAAAGCCTTATAAAGAAAACACAAGAAAGCACAGTTTAGCAAAGTCTCCATAAAGACTACTAGAATATGCATCCACAGGGGTTGTTCTGGGGTATGATAACTCTTTTGAAATGCATGGAAATAACATGTGTCTGCCTATAAGCCTGGCTTTCAGAGCAAGACAGCTGTTACTTTCTATTAGTCATAAGACCTAGAATCTTTTTTTCGTAACTAGTCACATTACCTATTATGAGAGAAAAGCTTGAACTAATTAAAATGTTCATTAATGTTATTTATGGCATGCTTATTTAAGGGATGCTTTAAAAAGCAGGACCGCAAAATGCGCAAGGTATTTCCTTTTGTCTGCTGTAATGCTAAAACTGTTCAGGCAAAGCTGGTTTGTTTTAACACCTTTATTCAAAAGGCAGAAATGCTACAGCAGTTTCAAATGCAGCGCGTGTCAGATTATTGCATTAAACTTGATTGTTCTTAGGCAGTGGAAGTAGCTGTTTTAAACTGCTGTCAAGGTTCATTTTGCATAAAACTAGTCTCTCTAATTAGGTCTGTTGGCATGGAGATTTTTGGAAGCTGGAAGGAATTCTGTCTTTCTGTCATTTCTTCAACATAAAGTTTAAAGAAAATTTTGGTTTATGACATGCAAACCTCCCTGTTAAATACTTTTTTCCTTTGCACATCTGCAGTTCCATCGCCTGTTAATCAGCTCAGTTGAAGCTGTAGTTAATTTGTGGGTTATACGTGATCCTGTGGTGAGGAATACACAGTTTTGTTCAGTCTTTCTTAAAACACTTTGCAGGGTAGAATACAGCTCTTCAGTGTCTGAAAAATACATAGGCAGGAGCAGTATCCTCTTTCTGGTTCTTGCATTGCTACAATATACAGCATTTGACATGAGCACAGCCAGGTGATTTTCCCAAAATGTGTTTTCTTTTCAGGTGGTACCGAGCCCCAGAACTATTGTTTGGTGCTAGAATGTATGGTGTTGGTGTTGATATGTGGGCTGTTGGTTGTATTTTAGCTGAATTGCTCCTCAGGGTAAGTCTTCAAATGTAAGCATTTTGTATTTGCTCTTCAGTGCATTACAACTTCGTATGTGGGCTTCCTCTCTTTCGCTAACTGCAGCAGGCAAAGGTAGTTAGGCTATTTAGGAAAGGAAGAAGGCGGGGGGAGGAAAGGTTCCAGAAGCTTGCTAACTGTAGGAAAAGTGAAGCTTTGGAACAGACTGAGATTCCATAAGCATCACAATCATTGGAAGTTTTTAAAAACATCTGCGTAAAAAAGTTGCAGCAAACTGTCACAGCTTGCCTTGGGGAAGGTTGAGTAGATAGCTCTTCCAGTCCTCTGAGTGATATCCTTTCATACAGCCTTCTATCAGTTTTCATTTGCTATCCTTCTAGAAATGTGACATCATAGATACATGCATACTCTGTCTCTTATGCATTGTTCCTCAATAACTGTAAATAATTATCACCAGTACCTTAATTGTGGTTTTATTTGTAATGAGCAGAAGAGTGATGTCTTTCTAAGCTGTGGTTAGTTGACAATACTGGAATGAAGCTGACGGTTAACAGCAGGCTAATCCTATGCCCCTCCTGAGTACGGTACACAGATATAACGGTCCTTAAGTATGTTTTACTGAAGCAGACCATTTATTATGCAGCTCTTTGGAGAGGACATGAAAGTGTGAGGTAGGGAGTGGAGGGTAGGGACACAGTCGCAGCTGAAAGCATGAAGTAGCCTGCAGTATAATTTATCTTCCATGAGGAAGTGGCTTCTGCTTGGTTTTTGCACCGTACTTTAAATGTTTGTGTGGCTATGTCATGAACCAGATTGGGGAACTGGTCAGTCTGAAAACACCTTGAGAGAAATCTTTTGCCTTGCTTTATCACACAAACAGCTGTGCTGGTACAATTTGGTTGGCAGTTCAGAAATGGAAATGTACAGTGGCTGTTTAAGCAGTACTAGTGATGTGTACATAAATACGCATTAGACCTGCTAAAGTTGGATAAACTCAAGGAAAGTCAGAAAGCAATTAAGAAATTGTTGAATGCTGTTGGTTTTTTGGTTTCTCACAAAGCAGAAAATGTATTATGCTTCAGTTTTATCACTGTGATAGTTTTAAATGTATCTGTCCTTTTTCTTCCTGAGTGTACTGGGTTGAGGGACAATGCAACTTCTGGGAGCTTTACAAAAGCAGTTTATGTTCAAGGGGCTTTCATGACACCAAAATTTAGTACACTGCCTAGTAGGGATGTTCATTACTGTCTTTCTGTCCTACTTAGTTAAATACTGCCTCTAATTCTTCATAATTTTGCTTTGGTCACAAAGTCCCTTTTTTCTTGCATTGTGTGCCTGATGAGCAAGCTACAAGTTGAACTGGGCAAATATCCCCTTTTCTGTCTTCTGCTTAGTTTAAATGAGATGTGACACTGATTAGGCAGTTTCTATCCTAGTGGGTCACTACTTTCCCTCATGCTGTGATCTCATTCCATCAGTCTAACTGCTGCTTGTGTAATCCAGTTACACTTCACTTTAAATGTTTTGAAAATATATATATATATATAAAAAAAACTGCTTCAGGGAGCAGATGGTGGTGGTGAGGCACTGGAACAGGTTGCCCAGAGAAGTTGTAGATGCCCCATCCCTGGAAGTGTTCAAGGCCAGGTTGGATGGGGCTTTGAGCAACCTGGTCTAGTGGAAGGTGTCCCTGCCCATGGCAGGGGGGTTGGAACTAGACGATCTTTAAAGTCCCTTCCAACCCAAACCATTCTGTGATGAAAAGATGACTGTGACCAACCAAGGTTTAAACTGGCAACTTAGATGTAAAATCTTTCCTCTCCTGTGTTTAGTTATTTTACATTAATGTGGTGGTGGTTTAATCTATGTTTAGCTCTCTGCTATCAAGTCAGTGATATCAAACCTGGGTTGCAAGAAACCTTAAGAACCTACTCGGACATCACTAGAAAGCCTCAACTATTCAGTGTACCTCTTTGTGGGCAGCTGGTATACAAAGATGTTTTGCCCTGCAATTATGAGGGGTAGCTCAAAGCTCCTCTCTAGAATTGAAGTTCAGAAGTTAATTCAATCAAATGCTTTTGCCTTCTTCCAGGTTCCTTTTTTGCCTGGAGACTCTGATCTTGACCAGCTGACAAGGATATTTGAAACACTGGGCACTCCAACAGAAGAACAGTGGCCTGTGAGTCCTTTTTTTTTTAACAGACTGACGTTAGTTTTACTTGATACTATTTTAGCTTTTGAAATTAAATTAAAGGGTATACCAGAATACTTGAGTAGACTTTCAGAAGGCAGCTGCCTGATCTTACAAAGTGGAGGATAAGCAGCTAATATTTATTGTTTCTCTTGGAAAATCTCTGGTCAATATAGCAGTGTTGTTAGCATTAAGCAACAGTAATGAAACTTCTTGGTTTCCTTTCTGTGTGTATCCACAGTTTCCCATGGCTATTGGTGTGAAATTATTGTTGTTGCTTAATGTCTTTGAGATGCTTGATTAATTAGTCTGCTTTAACCTGAAAGGCTTTAATCACCTTCAGAAGTAGGAACAATTTGTAGGGACTTAAGTTGGCCTGGATAAGTTACAGTTTTGGGATACAGTAAGAAATACCAGACCAACAGCTTTAGGGATAAACAATTTATCTCAGAGTAATGGTAATGTACAAATACAAATTAGTACTACAATTATCTCTGAGATGACAGTAAATTCAGTAATACCAGGCCAAACTTAGTGTCAGGGCACACAATGATCTACCTAACCATGGTTATCAGGCAGACTGACAGGAAGCAGGGCATAACTTCTGATGAGCGACTTGGACCAGCTGACGGGCATGGGGAGTCCTGAATTCCCTGATCAGACCGTCCTCTTTTGTAGTTGAGTTGTAGAAGCACTCTCCGGACTTGCCAACCAGTTATCGCATCCCACCTCTGCTCTCCCTCTGTGCCAGTTTTCCTTTGTGTGAATGGTGCTTGGATGCTACCTGAAGTAGTGCGCAATCACCAAATGGAGCTATAGCCATATAAGACCTGTGGTCACCATGCGGAGGACACACTGTATAAGGCAATACTAGCCCCACATTTTTCACCCCTTGTGACTGGGGGGGGAAAGGGTGGTTGTCTTGCCATGGCAGCATAAGGCCAAGACTGATGTTGACACTACCCACCTCACTGAGAGTGTCAGGTGTGGAGAGGAGTCTGGTGATGGAGTGATGAAGGGTTAAATTAAGACACGACGGTCAATAAGGTGATGTGCCAAGAAACCATCAAAACAGAACAGGTCAAAAGCCAAGTACAAATCTTTAATGTGACAACTAAAACAAGTAAGAAGCCACCCAAAGATAACAACTAAGTAAAGGAGTAGGATGCTCCATATCCCCCCGATGGTGGGAGGCCATCCTAAAACGGATTCCTTCCAACTATGTTTGATTTTTTTTTTTTAAAAACACTTTCCAGGATTTGTTTGATATCTGGTACCATGATTATTAAAGTTTGTTGTGCCTGCTTCTTTGCCTGTTTCAATAGTCCATGCAAGTCTTCATGTTGCAAAAAACATTCAATTAGAGAGAAAATCATACTGATAAAGGGTATGGATGATATGGTGGGTGTGGGGAGGGAAGTAGGAGAGGGACTTGGAGATGTGGGAATAGTATTACACTTCAGAGAGCTATCAGAGCATTAGCCCAAAGGCATACAGTATCAACAGAGTGAGAAAATATAAGGGTCATGCTACAAAAGACTTAATGTAGGCATACAACATGCTGATTGTTGATCCACTGATGTGTTGGTCCCTTAACTGATACTGAGGTATCTCCCATTTGAATTGTTTACAATCAATAACTGTGACATTCTGCTCTTGAGTTATGGAGGTATAATATAGTCTCAAAGAAGGATTCCATATTGGGGAGCTGTGGGGTCTCCCTCCTACCAGTGTTAAAGTAGCTATGTTCCATAAGCCAGGTTTTCCCATTTGTCAATACAACTTGAATACATTCAGCTCACTGCATTTGAAGATGTATTCCACAGTGTGCTGCAACCTGGGCTAAAGCTGTAACAGTGGAATAACTCCAATGCTCATGCAACCAGTGAGCTACCATGGTGGTTCCACATTTCAAGTTGCAGGTTTGGGCTAAGGTTTCCTCAGTTTCATCTGCTACTATTGGGCTGCTATCAGCTTGTTATGGGTGTCAGCATCCACTGTCACTTCTACCCCTCCAATTGCAGCAGTGGCATCCGCTCAGTCATTCAACCTAGCCTCAGCCATGGGGTGAGCAGAATGAGATCAACATAGCCCACAGCCAAAGTGAGCAAATATCTTCCTAAAGAAGGTAGCCCCTAATTTCTATGGTAAGAGTGCAGAAGGAGCACGCTTTCCAGGGGGAAACCCACCAGGTGCACCTAGAAGAACAGCCCAAGGGTCAGACAGTATGGACAGAGGAGCAAATGGCTAAGCAAAGGGCCAGGAGTTTTAGCCGTCTGGGCAGTACCATGGCAATTGGCCATGACGATTTGGCCATCAATGATATAGACAGTGGTGCCACACCCAAACCAGGCATTACTGCAAAGGATTGCTAAGCCATCAGTAAACCAGGTACCCTCCTGCGGGGTGGTGAAAGGAGGGACGTAGGCAATAGGCAAATCTGAGTGATTGCTGGTAGCTACAGGAATGGGAGAGGCAAGGTGGGTGAGAGTACAATGGTTGGGGCCTGAAGGTTGGGCTCCATCAGTGATGACAGGGGTACCAAGAACTCACTATTGAGTGGCAATGGATTGAGTTCATCCTTCAGGGAAAGGAATGTTGTGAAGGATGTCATGAGGAATAGGATGTAAAATCCTAAGTGTAAGGGGACGATCCCCAAGGAGTTTGTCAATGTCAGAAAAAGTAGCAAGTAAAGCACGCTCCCGTTCACAATATGAGGCTTGTGCATCTTGCCACTCCTTGCTACCAAAATGGATTGGTTTAGGGGTAGGGTCTTCGGAACTTCTTTCCTGGAACAGTCCTCACCAGGCACCATTTCCACTCTACTGGACCCTGAGTTCAAATCTGCCAGTAGGGGTGAGGGATCCTAAATACTGATACTATTGAATACTTTTTAGGAGAAGTGTTAGGGCCTGTTGATGACTTGTGTTCCAGTCCCAGGTGAAATGTTTTTGCAGCAAGGAATACAGAGAATAGACTAGCTGACTAAAATCAGGGATGTGGGCATGCCATAATTTATAAAGTGCCTAAAATCTCTGGAGGTTTTGTTTGGAGGAGGGAGTAAGTAAAGATAAAATAGATTGCAAGATGATTTCAGGAGTACTTTTGGTACCAGCGCACAAGGAGACTCACACATTCTGGGCAGGACCCTGGCATTTACAGGGAGGAATAGAAAGATTCCAGTGTTCTTTCAGGGCTGAAACTAAGAGGGTCATGTCTGGTGCAACAGGTTCATGTGTAGTAGGTCTGCCCAGGAGAATGTCATTGGTATACTGGTGGCAAGAGAGATCAGGAGTGGAAGAAATTTCAACTAAGGCTAAGAGACCATGAGTAAGGGTATGACTATGGTGATAATCTTGAGGTAAATGAATGAAGGTGTACTGGATGCTATTCCATGTAAAAGTGAAGTGACCTTTGTCATTTGAGTAGATGGGGCACTGGAAGAACATACCTTTAACATCCAAAACTGCCATACATAGGTAAGAAGCAAGGCAAATGGCATTGAGTACTTCAGCAGCTATTAGGACTGTTGTGTGAAGCAGAGAGGAGGCAAAATGTATGCTATGGTAGTCTAACAGTCAGATGCCAAGACCCATTTGTTGGGTTTGTCCACTGGCCAGATGGGGCTGCTAAACAGGGTATGGGTGTGAATGCCTACTTCCTGTTCTTCCAGTCCTGTAGAAAGGGAGGTGGGTGATGGGGTTTTGGGCTCGTGGTTTTACAGGGTGCTGCTGTAAATTAACAACATGGGTCATTGGAGGTAGGGAAGGTACTTACTGGAACTAGCAGGTGGTTTGGTTCAGAAGTACCAAGATACTGTACCTTGCCTTGAGCATCATGGAAGGTTTGGCTTCTGAGTAGGTTCATATCTAAGACATTACAATCTCCCAGAACTGCAGAACCTTGGGCCATATACCTATTAGGGAAGTCATACTTGACTGTGACTACAGGAAGAGCTATGAGTGGTCCTGTGAACCCGCAGACTACTGCAGTATGAGGGAAGTGGTCCCCTCCAGTGTGTGATCTATTGACAGAAATTTGAGCACCTGTATCAATGAGGCAACACAAACAACATTTATTGTTGATGGTGACATCTAGCACTAGATTGAAAGTCCGTATAAGCGACACCCTCCATAGCACCTCAGAGGGACTTGTGGCTTCTGATCAGCCCCCTGTGGTGCTAATTGGACCTCTAATAAGTTTGGGTAATACAAGACTGGGGTTTCCAGGCTCCAGCTGATGGAATGGCAGGCGGGGCACTTGGGCCTTTACCTCCAATGGGAGAATGTGTGGCACAGTGCGGGGTGTTGCAAGATGATTACAAGAGCCAGTAACACTGATGCTGGGACTGTGTGTATTGCCTATTCAGGAATGCCCAGGGCCAAACAGGCTTTCCATATTTCAGGATGCTTTGGGTCAGGGCCCTTTCACAGAGGTGTAGGGGGTTTTTTAACTTAGGGGGGCACAGTAGGGTTTGGTGGTAACTATAGCTGCATCTTTAGGGACACGGGAAGATAACAGAATGGGCACAGCAGAAACTACCTTTTGTAATAGCAGGGACTGTATGGGGCTGGGTGCTGCACCTGTAAGGCCAGCGCCTATTGACATTAAATGTCCTACGAGTGGACCCTTCTTGACTAGTAGGCTCCACTGCATCTCAGTGGGATGATGATAGGTCTTCACCTGCCACAGGGCCTGCATCTAAAGTATGATTGATAACCAGCCTAGCTATGCTCAATTCTAAATCTGTGGGATTGGCCAGGGAATAGCCAGGGTCCTCAGTCATCTCAGGGCACTTCTCTTTGAACATAAGCTGTTGATGCCCAAAAGACAGAGTCTGCATTTTATGGTGGAATTTGTAGTCAGATGTGAGGGTCTGGGCTTCTGATTCTGAAATTTGGATGGTATCCCCCCCTCATATTTGCAAGCCAGGCTAAGTA